AATTTTCCATCTTATACTAGGAAACTGCAAAGTTAGAAAAACAATGGACTGTTTCCTTCCTCTTTCTTTAAACCAAGAGGCTGAAAGGAAGGCTTCGTATTCATAACTCACAGGCCAGACCTGGGGATAAAGGTCACTAAAGTTCAAATGTGACAAAAGTTAGTCCACAGGTCTCAGTGAGTTCCCAGCCCAGCTGGGGTCAAGATGACATGGATCCCCTCACTGAGTCCTCATGTTAACCTGAAACTTCCCTCAAGCTTTGTAAGTATTTTGGGTAGACATTTGGAATCTGAGCTCGCTAAAAAGAGCTCAAGATTATGGGCGTGAGGGGGGGAAAGAAGTGACACAAAGCGGGCTCCATTTGGGGACAGACTTCTCTTCTAGGACTTTGGTCTCCAGGCTTTCTGGGAGCTTGTCATTATTATTGGTGGTGACAGGTACATTTCTTAGAACCCTAACTTAAGAGCATTCTTGCTAAGCAGCTAAGATGTGTTTTTACTGCCATTTCAAAAATGTCCTCTCTGAAATATCCTTTTGCTGTGGCCTCTTTTCCTGTGGCAAGACTATCTGTGGCCAGAAAACCCTCATGTGGTGAGTGGTTTAGATGTCCCATCCAGCCACGTTGCCTCATCATGCTGAAAGGGAGAAGGAAACCACTCCTCTAACACCAGCATTCCATTCTGTGCTATTTATGCTAAAAAGCAGCTGTTAGGATTTTTGCCAGCCAGACCTCCCTTTTGCACTTGAAATCCACAGGGAAGAGCTGATGTCACACAGAGCAGAAACATGATAGTAAGAGCAGCAAAGGATGGTGTTATGAGAAGATCCACCAGCAGCACAGAGAGATCTGATCAACTCTGCACAGGCAATAGGCCGAGTCACACTAAGACTTCAGGGGTCCTAGGCACTTTTGCCATGGTAGGCCTTCTTCTTCACAAAGAAAAATGAATACATGATTATATTTTATGCCTACATTGGTATACAGACAAATGTGTTCATGTTGTATGTGACAACATTTCCTTCCACCTGAAAGCTCATTTTTTCCCCTTATTTTAAAAGAAATTAAAACGTTTTCGTGGGCACTGTAAAAGTATTATGGGATGTGAGCACTGCATCTGCCATACCGATTGTTTAAGTTGACCCTCTCAACAGGAAGCAATCTCTGTTCTCGGTACAATTTGAAGAAATGGGATATTTATGCGTTAGGGCAGTTTCATAGCTTTAAAAGGCAATGCATGTTATGGATGGGTTTGGTTGATAAAATGAGAAAGGTTAATTAGATGTGTATACAGATCCACAAATCAAAATCTCCCTATTAGCAATAGGTTTATATGCAAGGACTTTGACGTTCCAAAGTAAATTTTAAAGCTTTGGTTTGGTGCATAAAAACCAGAGGGGTTATAGATACTGAGGTGATATGGCCTTGGGTCAGGATCCTGGGCTCATATCCACAAAGCGTCAGAGTGCTCTATTGCTTGGGTAAGTTACTTTATTTGTACTTCTGCTTCTTTCTCTAAAAATGAGAGGTAACAATAGCTACCTCATGAGGTTGCTGGGAGGATGAAATGAAGTCATGCTTGTAAAGCACTTAGTATAATACCTAGGACATTGAAAATTTTCAGTAAGTGTTATTATAATTGCCATTACTGTCATTAGGAAGTGTTATTACACTTTTCAACAGGTGGAGGAACTCAGGCTCCTCCATGATTTTGCTGGACAATTCTTTTTTTTTTTTGAGACGGAGTTTCGCTCTTGTTACCCAGGCTGGAGTGCAATGGCGCGATCTCGGCTCACCGCAACCTCTGCCTCCTGGGTTCAGGCAATTCTCCTGCCTCAGCCTCCTGAGTAGCTGGGATTACAGGCACGCGCCACCATGCCCAGCTAATTTTTTGTAGTTTTAGTAGAGACGGGGTTTCACCATGTTGACCAGGATGGTCTTGATCTCTTGACCTTGTGATCCACCCACCTCGGCCTCCCAAAGTGCTGGGATTACAGGCTTGAGCCACCGCGCCCGGCTGGACAATTCTTTTGCTACATTTAGACAGGTGACAAGTAGATAAAAAGGTGATGAATAAATAAAAAGAAGCATATATCAGAGATTAGAATTAATCAACCAATAGCATGTGAAGAGGAGTGGGAAGTGACACAGAAGATTCAAGGAACATTAAAATACAGACCCTGGCTTCCAGAAGAGTACTAGAGGCAAGACACACCCAGAAGGCTCAGAAACAACTGCTGTTTTTAGATCAATCAACCGAATTTGATTGATCTAAGTCATACACCTAAGTTTTGGGTCTTCAAGAGTGGAGTTTAGATCTACTAATGTTTTCTTGGATGAATTATCACAAAATCTTTATGTTGACCATAACAATAGTAATAGCATAAGAGTATTTATGGAGCCCCTACTATTTTTTGACACTGTGCCAAACCCTTGATATATACTGTTTCTCACAATTACCTTTTAAGGTGAGGCTTCTATGTCCCATTTATAGTTGAAGAAACTCAGACTCTCAGAAGTCAAGGTATTTATTCCAGGTCTAGTTTCTGTTAAGTTGGGATCTTACTGGAGATCTATCTGACTTCATGGGTCAAATTCTTTTCTCTATGCCTCATCCTTGTTAGTTAATAGGATTTGAGTGAATATGATTTTACTTTGATCTTTAATTAATATTGACCCATCTGATAAACAAAGATTTTTCTAAAATAATACCCAGTTACACCAGAAAGATTCCTTTGAAAATAGGAATGATGGTGCATGCCTATAATTCCAGCTACTCAGGAGGTTAAGGAATGAGAGTCACTTGAACCTGGGAGGTGGAGGTTGCGGTGAGCCTAGATCGCACCACCACACTCCAGACTGGGTGACAGAGTGAGAGCCTGCTTCAAAAAAAAAAAAAAAAAAAGAAAGAAAAGAAAATACGGCTTAGCATTGTTGATACAAATGAGCCAAAGTGTAGGTTTTTCAGAGATTGGCTGAGGTATAGGACTAACGAAATTGATCTTTCCCTTCCACTTGGTCACATTAAGACTTTGTATGTGTGCTCTGTGTTCTGGAGGACTTAGGTCTGGAAGGTCTGTGCTAGATGAGGTCCATTTGTTCTGACCTTGACATGAGATGAGCCTTCAGGCTGAGTCCAAGGGAGGAAGCCATTGCTCCTCGTAATTCTGCAGGATGTTTTTACGTTTTTGTTTTTTGGGTTTTTTTTGTTTTGTTTTTGTTTTTTAACAGTTCTCTACAACATCATCTGAAACACCAAACTCTCTGCTGTTCATCCATTTAACCAGGGACTTTCAATGTGGATAGTATTGAATATGACACTCCCTGCCCTTCAGAGCAAGATCAGATTGCAAATGGAAGGAGACAAGTTGTAAATTAGTCTTTTATGTGGAACACAGTTCACAAGTCTGGACCTCAACCTTGTCCCCATTTTAAAGGATTTATTGAGCACAATGACTTGCCTATATGTGAAAATAGCCCTCAGTTCCTGCCATAGTGATTTTTCACATTGCTTTTGTGAGATTATGAGTTTGATAAGTAAATAAGATATAACACCTTTGAAGATCATGGGTTTGATAAATAAATAAGATATAACAACTTTTGAGAAGTAGAATTTTCTAAGAGTATTCCAAGTTAAGTTTAAAGTTTTGAGAGGATGCTACACTAATTCCCTGTAAGTATACGGAAGCATTGTGTTATGAATGCAGCTGGCCATTTGTTAATGTTTGGTAATAGCTAATTGGAAAACACCTAAGTTATAACTAGTCACCCCCACAGTTCAGGGTTGATTAAACAACCCATGACACTTTTTCCCTCTAGACTGCCTTAGGAATAATTTTAATGACTTGCCCATTGTCTTGAGTTAATTATTTCTCATTTTTTTCTAGTGTTCCTCTCTGTAAATGTCCTAAAATATCCCACCATGTTACACTATTCTTCTCTTATATTTCACAACGGATATATATAACCAGGAACATTTAAGCAATAGTTTGGTTCTTTCAAAGGAATAGATAAATCATCAGGCTACATGATGAGAGAGGAAATGACAGTTTTTATCTTTTATTCAGGTAGCCTAAATTTACATGAGACCACAAAAAGTTCCTGACAGGATGTTATTGATAGTGTTTACCCAGTTGGGGCTTGAGATGGGTCTTCCTGCCACATTGCAGGGCACCCTCTTGCCTGCAGATCAAATCCCAGATCTTCCAATTCTCACGAATTTTTGGAATAGAGATTTCAGGCCCCTTGGCAGATTTCCTATTATTCTTAGTTCAGCTTCCTTCTCTCTGTGACAGTCAGTAACAGTATCCTCTCTTGTTGGATGCTATGAATGATAGCCCCATAGAACTAAATGAAGGGCAAATATTCATTTGTAATAACTAAGTCATTGAGTACCAGACGTTATTCTAAATTATTTGTGTGTATTACCTCATTTAATCCTCATAGCAATGTTATGAGGGACGGACTATTTTTATCCTTATTTTACAGATGAACCTGAAACACACTTACCTAGTGCAAAGGCCTGCCTTTCCTCCTCCCTTTCTTCCTCCTTTTTTCCCTTCTGCCAACCATCCTTCTTCTATCCAACCAATTCCCTCCCTCCCTCCCTCCCTTCCTTCCTCTTTCTTTTTCTTTCCTCTCTCTCCCTCCCTCTGTTTCTCCCCTTTCCCTCTTTACTTCCCTGCTCTCTCCCTTCCTCTCCCCCTTCCTTCGCTTCTTTCCTCCTTCCTTCCCTACTTTCATTCTTCCTTTCTTCCCCTCCTCCCTCCTTCTTTCTCTCCTGCTTTCTTCCTTTCTAATCTCCTGCTTTCCTCCTTCCTGTCTTCCTCTTTCCCTCCCTCCCTCCCTCCTTCCCTCCCTCTTTTCCTTCCCTCCCTCCCCCCCCCCCTCCCCCCTCCCTCCCTTCCTTCCTTCCTTCCTTCCTTCCTTCCTTCCTTCCTTCCCTCCCTCCTTCTGTCCAAGCCAAAAATGTGCATTAAGTACTTGGTGTGTACTGAGCAGTATTGTGGTCACTGAAGATGGCAATGAACAAAACAAAGTCCCTGCCTCCATGGAGCTTAACCACTATCCTATAGTGCCCCAAATTACATGTCTTCCCTAAGGGGCTCTCCCAGATTAATACCACCCAGTTTCTAACCTACCTGGATAATCTCAACTCTTCTTCCATTTCACAATACACTTAAGTAGTTTAAAAATTCAGAGTTTTATATTTTAGCTAATGTGCCTGCTTTGAAACTTTTAGGTGCCAATAGACAATGTACCTTAGGCACCTTGATGCACAATCTTACCCTCTGGGGATGACCACAAAATTCAATATAACTGCTATTTTCTAGACTATGTTACAATGAGAGAGAGAGAGAGAGAGAGAGAGAGAGAGAGAGAAAGAGAGATACATGGGAAAATCATTGGACCCACTTCCAAAAGAGGTTTCATTATATTGTATCTGATGAAAGCGTTAAAAATCCAGTTTATTTTTCATCAAAAATGGTCATGAAGCCAATTTAGGATTTCCTGAATGAAGTTTGCAATTTAGGAGTAGAGCATTTAACCCAAAAGCCATGGACCATGCTGGCTTTGGACATCAACCTGAGCTTTATTAAAACATTCACACCTAGGGAAATTTCTAGATATTTTAACTGTAATCAATTAAGCTAGGTGTTACAGGGACAGCCATATGTTTTTCTGTTTGTTTTATCTGACTTAGAGAAAGTGCAATGGGGGATAGACTTAGTATGGATTAAAAGGGATACATTTGTATGGCTTTCGGTCACTTCCTAGTTATTGCAGGTTATCCTGGCATAAGTATGTGCATTAGTCCATTCTCACACTCCCATGCAGAACTACCTGAGACTGGGTAATGTATAAGCGACATCTTGGACCTCTCCTAAACCAGTCAGTCATTAAGATTTTTTCATGTCAGATAAGAGAACACTAAAAACTGAAAACAATTTCCTCCATCCTCTTTTTAACATTTAAAATATTATTGTCACTGCATTCTGTATGCTAAAATATGATCTTTTTTTGCTCTTTGTATCGGTTAGGATAAATTACTAATGCTGTAGCAAAGAGCCCCTACATGATGGAGGCTTTCACATTCGAGGTTTATTTTTCATTCATGTCACAAGCTACTGCTGCTGCATGCACTCAGCGACCCCTATTCCTTCTGTTTAGTATTCTCCAATGGCTTCTCTGGGTCTGAATTAGAGAAAGATGGGATTAGAGAAAACTCATGGATTATGGTGATCATAGAAACAAGGCAAGACAGTGACATGCTTCATTTCTGCCCACAATTCATTGTGCGTAACTCAGTCATATTGTCTCACCTAGGAAGGTGAAGAAATTACTAGAAATTTCTAGAAGAGGAGAAGAAATATGCATATATGTGAGTAATAGCACTCTCTGCCATAGCCTTCAATAGATATGTAAAAAAGGACAAATTTTTGGTAGATAGAAATAGTCTCAGAGGGGAATTGTTACAGCTCCCAAATCTATGTTCATTTAATGGGAGATGCTATTGTACTTTACTGAAAAGAGTCTGGAATTTGGAATTAAAGTATCTGGATTTGTAGTTGTCCAGCTGTTCACTTATTAGCTACAGGACCTTGCATGGGACACAATCTTCCTGAGGATCAGTTTCATTAACTATCAGATAAGCTGATAATAATGTCTACCTCACTTACTGCATAGGTTGTTTTCAGGGTCAAATGAGATCAAAGGAAGAGTTTATTGTACTCTCTGAGATGCTGTGCAAATATAAGTGCCTGCCCTTTCTTCTCTTCCTCCTAACCTTGGGTCCAGTTTCCACTCTTACTTCCAGGATGATATGTTACATATACTTGGCTGTAAGACTGATAGAGATGCTGATGACTTTGTTGCCAGGAGACTAAATATCTTTTCTTTCTTTCTTTTCTTTTCTTTTTTTTTTTTTTTTGAGATGGAGTCTTGCTCTGTTGCCCAGGCTGGAGTTCAGTGACCTGACCTCTGCTCACTGCAAACTCCACTTCAAGGGTTCAAACAATTCTCCTGCCTCAGCCTCCTGAGTAGCTGGGACTACAGGCATGCGCCACCACACCCAGCTAATTTTTGTATTTTTAGTAGAGACAGGGTTTCACTATGTTGGCCAGGCTGCTCTTGAACTCCTGACCTCAGACCTTCCACCTGCCTTGGGCTCCCAAAGTGCTGGGATTACAGGCGTGGGCCACCGTGCCTGGACTAAATGTCGTTTTTAATCTTCCCTCAGAGACTGAATATGCACTCTTATATGTATAAGATATATTTTTATATCTTATATATATGAAATTTATTATAAAATATATTATATATATAAATTTTTTTTTTTATATAAAATATATATATATATAATGTATTTATATCTCAAAACTCAAAATTTGAAATGCTCCCAAATCTGAAACTTTGAGTGCTGACATGATGCTCAAAGGAAATGCTTATTGGACCATTTAAGATTTGGGCTTTTTTTGAATTAGGAATGCTCAAAAAAAAAAATCTGAAATCCAAAACAGTTCTGGTCCCAAGCATTTTGGATTAGGGATACTCAACCTGTGTGTGTCTGTGTGTGTAGTCTCTGGATTTGGGGAGAAAAGACAAGATGGAAGGTATTCCTTTTAAACTGTGTAAAATAACAAGGAAACAAATTATCAGCAACCCTAGGAGGGGTGACTAATGCCATGAGCTGTTAAAATTCAGTGTGAAAATCTTAACGGTGGTCCTTTGAAATATTTTCTTTGGAAAAAAAAGGAGAGGATAATTGTGCTATCTTGAATTTCTTTTGAGTTTAGGTCATATAACAAGTGGTATATTAAATGGAGTAGAATTTTTAGAATGAAGATATTTTATATTTTAGATATCTTCATCACATCTTATTAACTATTGATGTGTACATTTTCAATACAATAGCCAAAAATGATTGATTGGTTTTCATAAATATAAATTATTTTATGGGCCTCTGGTCTCTGTCTTAGATGTTGAAAGAAACTCTCCCCTAATGTGTGCAACCCATACAGTTTAGAGAGAATGAGATTTTTTGTGTAACTGTTTCATTTTTCACAATTTCCTTACTTCTTTACAACCCTCCACTCATTATGCCAGTGAAATTTATTTCTTTAGGAAAAAGCTAAAATTATTGATAAGAAAGTCAATTGAGTTTCTGAATTTATTTTTTAAATCCCTAAAAAAGACAATACACTTCAAAGCTGAGACTTTTGCTGCAAGAGCCTGAACTCCAAAAGCTTAAGACTCTGGAATTTTTGGCACATGGAAACCACTGATTGGGAAGGAATGGGTCGGGAGTATTTTCGTGCCTACGTGGAGACTGGGTTTGAGCAGCAGGCAGCCAGGAGAAGAAATTAAGGACAGAGGCTGGTGAAGAACCAGAGAAAGTGCTTTGTGCCGATCCTCCTCCTGCCAAGCATTTGGGGAACCTAAGGATAGCATAGGATAGGATGCATTTGCTGCCTTGTATATTGCTTGATGATGAAGCTCTAGAAAAAGGAAGCAATTATTGTCGATAAGTCTCCCATTCCAGCATGGCTCTGCAGCAGGAATAGGAAGGTCTAGGCAGAGAAAGCCTGAAGCAGTACCCACCAGACCTGCAGTCCCAGGAGATGCCAGAGAGCCAAACATTTCCTATTCCCCTGAGATGAGTATTTGTGCGGCCTTTTGGATTTATCTTTTTTTTTAACACATAAAATCCATAACTGCTATAAAGGTTAATCATGGTGCATTCTAATTTTCCTTTCTCTTATTTAGATATCAAATGGCTTATAAGCTTCTGGAGTCAACTGTGTGATCTTCAAAACTGGCAACCTGAGAACGGAGCAGGAAGTAAGTGGTTCAGCTTTGGATACCCTGGTAAGGATCCCAACAGTCAAAGAGCATGTTTCTTTGGAAGCCATTGTCAATAGAGGCAGGGTTGCCATCAGCTGGCACTCATCAGGAAGGCCCCACGGTGTCAGTCAGTGTCTGTTCCAACTATTTATTACATCTTTTGAATCTCACACCTACTGATGACCTTGGCCTGATGCCTATTGCCTGATGCCAGCAAGTTTCAAACACCTCCTCCTACAACTTGTATATCTCCCCATGGGTATAAGGAATAAAGAAAGAGAAGGGAGCCTTGTGAAATGACTGGTGATGCCCTCCCAAGGAGACTGGCATAAACCAGAAGTGACTAAATTTACCTTGATTGTCGAGCTTAAGTCTTCCACTATGAATTTGTGAACTAATTTAAGCTCATTTACAGTGCATTAAAGAGAGCTCCATTTTGTTTTAACATGTAAAATTTATAACTGCTACAAATGTGAATCACTGCATTTAAGCTTTCACTTCTCATATCTTGATGTCAAATGTGCCCCAAAGCCTCTAAAGCAATCAGGCATTTCCTAGAGGAGATCTAAGGGGAAACATGTTCTTCTGCAATTTTAGGGGGTGGGACGAAGGGCTCAGTGGGGGTGTATTACCACAGTAGGGTCTCACTTACAAGGTGGCATGATAGGAATTGACGTTTCTACTTTTTAGGGATTGAGAAAAGCTGTCAAGCAAACCCCTGTTGGAGGAGAGGCTGAATGATATGTTTCTTTCACATGAGTTAAAATCAGGAGTACTTGATTTCAATAGGAAAAGCAGCAAATGGGAGAAGTGTAAGTGATAGACTGGACAAAGGACATGTGGCACATATACACCATGGAATACTATGCAACCATAAAAAATGATGAGTTTGTGTCCTTTGTAGGGACATGGATGAACCTGAAAACCATCATTTTCAGCAAACTAACACAAGAACAGAAAATCAAACACTGCATGTTTTCACTCATAGGCGGATGTTGAACAATGAGAACATGTGGACACAGAGAAGGGAGCATCACACACTGGGGTCCATTGTGGGGGGCTAGGGGAGGGATAGTGGGAGGGAGGGTAGGGAGAAATGTCAGGTATAGGTGATGGGGGGATGGAGGGAGCAAACCACCTTGCCATGAATGTACCTATGCAACAATCTTGCATGATCTGCACATGTACCCCAGAATCTAAAGTACAATTAAAAAAAAAAAGAAATATAGAAACAGACCTCTCCAGAAAAAAAATTA